TCCTGTGTCAATCCCATGGCGAGTACGCCACTCGGGTACACTTATTTGCTCTTCTTTCTGCGCAAAGTCAAATATAGTAGCGTGCTTCGCAAGGACTTCGACCAAAGCTTGACGTTTTTCTGATGATAGCGACTTGTTTACCATACTCAGAAAGTTGGCTTCTGTATGGTACGTTGCACAAATAGGATCTACTCTCTCGTCACTTAAAGATGCAATGAAACTGGTCGCATTTTGTTCGAAGCGGGCGAGTCGCATTCCGCCGGGTAGCATAACAGGTTCATTTGAATAGTTCGACAACCATAAGGCCGATCGCCTATCACTGATCGACAGAACACAATGTGGAATGAGCACATTTTTCTTGGCGCAATTAAGAGGAATGGGCTCCACAAGAACATCAAACTTTCCGGCGTCCGAGGCAGAGGCGTCAACGCGTACGGTCTTCATCGAGTTGGGCGGCAAGACAACATCCTCAATGACGGTGATAGATCCTTGACAGCACCTAGGATCGTCAGTAAATGCCGATAGCATAATCTCGCCAGCACCGCAATCTACAGTAGCCCCGCACTCGCGTAGAAAATCGATGCCCAAGATGATGTCATGGGTGGAGCTGGTCAGGACGGCGAATTCAGCCTCGAAGACCTTGTCATCCAAAGTGACACTAACAACACACACACCGATCGGGCACAATGTCTCCCCGCTCACTGCACGAAATGATGCACAACTGTCCCAGCGAAACATCACTTTATGTCCTAGCCGCAATTTGAAGTTAAGACTCATCACTGAAACAGCTGCTCCAGTATCTATCAACGCCATCGTAGGAAGTCCATCAATAAGCACGGGGACCCTATTTTGAGTCATAAAAACGGGTGGAGGCATAGGCGGATGTAGTGACAAATGTTCGGCGACCTCACCTCCATTGGCCGCACCACCTAGTTTCCCGGAGGCGGGGAGGTGACGCGTCGACCAGGAGATGGGGAACGGAACCGGCGTGTTGTGGGGGGCGTCAAGCTTCGTACGGAGGAAGGCGAGTCGTTGCGTAAATTCCGATGGAAATTGCGTCCTACATGTGTATCACTGTGGGTCGTTTGCTGGAAGCCGTCCCCAACGTACGCGTCCCGCATTGAACGCATACCACCGCGCCAGCGGTTTTGTCGAGAAGAAGGTGATGGTCCCTCGTAGTAGCGTTGCTGGGGGCGACGCCTTTGACCACAGAATCGAGCCACATGTCCACGGAAACCGCAGTTATAGCACACAGAGGCCTCACGCACGTCGCCAAACCTTCCACGAGGCGCCATGTGCCCTTGATCGTCCCACGAAGACACCATTGTAGGCGGTTGGCGGGAGGCGTTCTGGAAACCACGGCGATGATGTAAGTTGTCGGTTGGGGGCGCTGGTGCTCTTGATTGGGGCGCATCATATAGCGTGGCATCAACGGCAGCACACATTGCGTCGTATGGCGGGGAGGTGTTGATAGCAGGTGCTCTCGGCGGGTTGACAGCATCACGTCGTCCAAGTTCTTCGCGTACGATTTGCCTGATCATTGAGGCAAGATCACAGGGGGATGTTGGAGGGACGTCGACACTTGCAACGGTGGTGACGTTGGCAAGTCTACCAAATTTGGGAGTGATGCGCCTAGCCTTCAGTGTCTCAAACGTGCGGCAGTGTTGTATTACGTCCGCTACAGACGCAAGGGTGTCCTTGCCGATGAGGAAATTGTAGACATCCTCAGCAACCCCTTTGAGAAGATGCCCTACCTTGTCATCTTCTTTCATGCGTGGGTCTACAGACTTGCACAATTTCAGGATCTCTTCAATGTACGTTGTGCATGTTTCACCGGGGACTTGAGCACGCTGCATCAAAGTTTGCTCAGCGCGCTTCTTCTTCATCAATGGGTCCCCGAAGCAGCTCGCTATTTCTTTCTCAAACGCTTCCCAGGTCATTATTGTTTCTTCGTGGTTTTCAAACCACACCAACGCAGTCCCTTGAAGAAACAATCCGACGTTGGACAACCAGGAGGCCGCATCCCAACAGTTGTATTTACTCACACGGTTGAAGTGTTTCAGCCATTCATCGACGTCTTCTCCGACCCTCCCTGAGAAGCTTCGTGGTACCATGTGCCGGGGCCACGCAGCGCCAGACGAAGAGTGCGTGGTGTCGCCGTCAGCAATCGGATCCATAGAGAGCGGTGGTAGACCAGCCAGTCGGCGGCTTCGGCGTAGTTCTTGAGGTAGCGCTTCCGTGATCGTTGGCCTTGGATCGCTCCGCTGTACCCCGCACCTTCCACCAATCTTGTTACGGTGCGATGGATGCCTTTATTTACAGGAGATGAATAATGCGAGAGTCCAGGGATCTGGCCGATCACCGCTCGTGCCAACCTCGTTCTCCTCTTCTTCCACGCGCATCCTCAGTATCGTAGCAATATGAAACAATAAAAGCCTCATAGATTAGCTTCCCGCGACTGGTCGCAAGATGATGCGTTTCACGGCTAGAGTGGAAAAAGAGCATGTATGAAGCAGAGGTACGAATTTTTATATGCCCGACTAGAGTCAATAAGTAAACTGCTAAAAAATTTCTGTGCCACCAGTTTTCTGCCCGTAACTGTTTGTTATTTGGAAAGAAGGCATAAACTGTCATGGTGTGAGCTATTTTTCTGACGCAATGAACTTTTCTCTATATAAAAAGGTTCAGTGATTATTTGTAATCAAGAAGCACTTAATTACGCTAATGACAGTTTGAATACCAGAAAGATGTGTAATCATTTCAGTATATGGCCTTATTGAATTCAACCTTTTCTGTCATGCTTATCACACCACTCCTTCATACAGAAAACTTGGTTTGAAATATATATTTGTTCTTTGGAGATCAAAAAAAAAAGAGGCTATGAAAAAAAACAAAATAGGCAACAAAGGCATACTGAGCAGAGGCCACATGCCCGAGAAGTCAAATATCACAAGACAAACCTAAGATCACAATTTTTTGGTGTTTTAGAGTCATAAAAAGAAGGTGAAACTTTTAAATGCAGTTTTCTCAATACTGTTGTTTTTGTTTTTGTTGGCATTACGCTCACCTTGTGGAGCCGATAATTTGGTAGCCAATTCAGAGACTTTGGTTCTATTTTTTTTTGTAACGCTCTTTGAACTGCCCTTCAGGGGGCTGTCATCTTAGTTTTTCATTTTACTCCCTAAGGAATTTTTCGTGGGGCTTCTTGCTTGTTGTGCAAGTGCGCTCATTGCAGTGTTGCTGGAGAAAATGTTCAGTGTTGCAAAAAATAATTTTAGTTTTAGTGTTGCAAAAAAATAATTTGAAAACGCAGCTCCCTTCACCAGACATTAGGCTGTGCGTACAATAATTACCAACTATTTCTGTCACTTTGTAAATCCTCCAGCCCCTCCACGAGGTGCAATGAAGAAATGATTTATCTCTCATTAAGTTTTTGTGGTATCGCCTCGAAATTTTTATGGAAGTATTGTGAGGCCATGCTTAGTGTCAGTGCATATTTTTTATCAATATCCAGTCTGAAACAAGAAAATTCGTATTGAAAGGCACGAGACGTGGCAATGAAAATTGTAAATGTGGTCAAAATTTTTGGTTTTTCAATTAATATTTTTCTGTTATACTGAGACCATGTTTCACATCATAGTGTGATTTTAAACCAGAATAAGTATTAGAAGTTGGGAAACATGCATTTTACTAGTGGGCTGTCGTCAAGAGCTATGTAAAAATTGAACATAGCAGAATGCGAATTTGCAGCTTCCTTTGACACAGTGCCACCATATTGGTATCATCATAAAAAGAACAGATTGGAGCTCAAGATAGCCACAAAGATGAATTTTTTCAATGAAAAATAAAGCCATTTTCCTTCCAAATTCTGTTTAACAGCTTCTAGCTCCACTTTTCTTTAGCTCCATTTTCTCAGCTGTCATTTTTTGAGCAGTTGCTGTCAGTCATCCCTGAGTAATTTCACAACTAATTATGCGTTAGCCATTCCGTTTTATGCAGCTTCATAAATAACAAAGAGAATTTTCATTACCACGTCCCCTTAAGCAGGTGCACCAACATTCAGGACGTCTACCTCATTAACGCAGCCGGTGACCATTGCTTGACGCCGGTGACCACTGCCATGAACGCTGCCACTGACCATGACTAGCAGTGCTAAACAGCCGGTTCCTCAACGCACACGCCAGAGACATTGGAGCATGGTCCCATGCTAAAAGCAGACGCGCGTTGTCTCGCGGAAACGTGGAACACTGCAAAACCGACAATCAGTGGCTACAAAGTGATGGCTACAACGACTGCTGCGGAGATGCAGTCGTTGCCGCTGTGAGAGGGCAGTCGCTTTGCACCGCGGCGCCGCTTCTCGGTCATGTGACCCGCTGGCTGTGTGAGGACGGCTCTCTCGGCCGCGCGAGGCGTGGCTTCAAGGTCGGCGCGGGAGTTTTGAAATAGCCGCGCCGAACGAGTGTCAAACTCCGCAGAAAACGATATACTCAACACCCTACGGTCGTTTTTTTTTTCTTTGATAAACTATTTGATAGACTAATTTAGTTCCTTATATCCATTCACCGGTGAATTTTACTTCCTTACAACGAGGTTGAAAATGCATGGTCCTCAATGAAGCTTTCAAAGGGAATTTCATTTACTTTGTTATATCCATTATTTTTTATATCCTGTTACGTTATAACAAGGTTTGAGTGTAATAAGGTTTTGCAATGCCTCTAGGATCGGAGACAGTGTAAACCTTCTGCCACTCACTTTTTTTGGTCTGAGATCAGCCTGACGATCAATTATGTCATGTGATGCCGCAGTGGCGTCATGATGGTGTCATACAAGGACATCATCAAGTCATGTTTTGTTGCATCTCTCATGTCGGTGCCGCCAAAGTTAGATGCTGACACCGATCGTTTTTCTTGTTTGATGAGGCATCTGAGGCTTTTGTCTTAATAAACACATGTGGCAATACGATGTTTCGGTTCATACTTTTTCTCAACTCCCTTTTGCAGAGACAGACTCTGGCGTAGAACTTGTGGTGCCAACCAGCACGGTGTCAGTCACCGTCACACCGTCGGCACAACCAGCCGAGCCCAGCACTGTGGCTGGTTCGTATAAAATCATTTGCATATTGGTGTAGTCATTTCTGCTTGTTTGGAGTGCTCTTTCAAAAGGTGTCTTAATTCATTTGGATGCTGCTACGTCGGGCAAAGTCTCAGTAGTGGTGCCTAATAACCAGTGATGACAGCAAGTGATTCAGTGTAGCAAGTAATTCAGTGTAGCCAGTGCTAAAATTTCACAACGTTTGGTCCCACATGACTATTCTTTGCATCATCGGGCACACTAAAGAAAAGTGGCTTCATGAAAGTGTTGCTTTAAGAAATCGTGTTGTGCTGCCTGATTACATTTTTTTTCTACCTTTTAAAGGTCCACCACATTCGTTTGGTATCAAGAAGGGCAGTACGCTCTCTATTATGAAAGTGCTGATAATTCATATTTTTGGTGCATTCAAGCCAATTTAAAATTTTTTGGTTATCAAAAATGTTCTCAAAAGTCATGCATTATGGATGTTTCTTGTGTCCGAGTTTGACTGTATCCCATGATTGGCATTATGAAATGTGTTGCATTGTGTTGTTTTCTGCAGCGCCAGATGAGGGTCCATCTTCGGTCTCTGGAGCAGCCGGGGCACTCAAGCGGCCTCGGGATGTGGACCAGGAGCCGTCTAGGTGAAAAAATGTCTCGTGTTTATTCGGTCAGAAACCCACGAGGCATGCTTTGTCAATGGCATACATACGAATGCAGGTTGTATTTGGCAGTCCTATGGATAGGCTTGTGCTACTACTCAAACAAATAATGCAGTATTCGAATTTCCTTCGAATCAAATTTAAATGATTGAAAATTTCTAAGTATTCGAAACGAACAAATAAATGTACACAAATCTGTGTGCAACTTATTGTAAAGGTGGCTTCGTTGCAGTAGAGAGGTGCTGAGCAGTGAAAACAAGTATTTAGAAGAAATTCGCATTGTCGTAAAACCCTACTTCAAGGTTAAATAAACATATCACCTTCACATCGTTTCATCATTCTTTAAGTTTAAAAACTTGTTATGTCGACTTATGTATGCTCTCAGTATCGCCAATTTTAATACGTAGCATATTTTGTAGGTTATAAACACCATTCTACTAAAAGTCAAATCCTGTAACTATTAAAGTTGTTTTCACTTCCTATGATGCAAAAATCGCGATTTACACAGGCATCGTTTCAGTTTAAAAATATTGTGCAGGTTAGTTTGATCATGACTTGTAAGCCTCTTTTTTTCATAATATGGGATATTTATACTATTTGAATTTGATTCGAAATTATTCAAACAAAATCACTATTCGCTTCAAACTAAAAGTTTGCTATTTGCACATGCCTACATATGGATGTTTGACTGTAGAGCGGATGTTGCCTTGGGAAGAGATTTTTACCTGAATAAAAGAGATGTGCTTTTTCATTTAAAAAGAAAAGATTGGTGTGCTTTCTCAAGGTATGTATGACGTAATTGTATTGGTCTATGAACATGTGTGTAACATTTACTGTGTTGGTCATTTGATTCTTGCATCAGCATGCTGCTAACTTCAGCCGATTGGTTGGTGCATGTTAGGCTATCCAGTGAAAAACGTTCATGACAAAATATTGTACTTGGGATTGGCAAAGCTAATGTTAGCATTGCTGAGGTCTAGCTTAAGGAGCATAATAAGTGCTTTAGCCAGCGCTGAGTTTTCTTGCAGATGACATCATTGAAAACTGTCACCTGAACTTGTACAGTAGACTCTCAGCAAATCGAATTGCTGCTTAAATGGAACTTCCGCCAATATGATTCGTCTCAGACTTGAACCCTGCATCATCTTTTAGTACAGTGGTTCTCAGTCATGGATGTGTCAGGGACCCCTTGTTGTTTGGCGGAAGTGATGGGGGACCCCTTGCAGTGGAGGGAAGGGAGGTAGGGGGTACGTAGGTAAATTAACCCAATTGGAGCATGAAACAGAGGCCTTTTATTGCTACCGAAAACATCAATAAACGTGCCACATTGCTTTATTTTGGACGGTTTATCAATACGTGGCACAGTCACGCTTAAAGAAAAGTGAGGGTTTCGCAGATCATAAAAATAGCTTCACTCCCATTTGAAAACTACTGTCTTAGTAAATGAAACTCCGGGTACCTTCATGTTCCATTCAATAAGCCTGCTGTATCTTTATCTTTCAAGCATATTCTCTTGTTGCGCCCGCTTTGGTTTAAGTGTGGAAGTAGTTGAACAGAGTTCATGCATTTTATAATTATTTACTTATGCAGCAGAAATCTGGAGGCGCACAAAAAAGGTTCAACTTAAATTGACGCAGCGAGCAATGCGAACAGATAGGTGTAACCTTATCATCATCATCAGCCTGACTACGTCCACTGCAGGACAAAGGCCTCTCTCATCTTCCGCCAGTTAACCCGGTCCTGTGCTTGCTGCTGCCAATTTATACCCGCAAACTTCTTAATCTCATCTGCCCACCTAACCTTATGTCTCCCCCTATAACCCGCTTGCCTTCTCTGTGAATCCAGTTAGTTATCCTTAACGACCAGCGGTTATCCTGTCTACGCGCTACATGCCCAGCCCATGTCCATTTCTTCTTCTTTACTTCAGCTATGATATCCTTAACCCCCGTTTGTTCCCTAATCTACTCCGCTCTCTTCTTGTCTCTTAAGGTTACACCTACCATTTTTCTTTCCATTGCTCGCTGTGTCGTCCTCAATTTAAGCTGAACCCTCTTTGTAAGTCTCCAGGTTTCTGCTCCGTAGCTAAGTACCGGTAAGATACTGCTGTTATATACCTTCCTCTTGAGGGATAGTGGCAATCTACCTGTCATAATTTTAGAGTGCTTGCCAAATGTGCTCCACCCCATTCTTATTCTTCTAGTAGTTACTTCAGTCTCGTTGTTTGGCTTCGCGGTTATTACCTGCCCTAAGTAGACATAGTCTTTTACATAAACATAGTCGGTGTAATCTTAAGAGGCAGGAAAAGAGCAGAGGGAAAAAATGGCGGGGTTAAAGATATTATACTTGAATGGAAGAATGTAGTCTTGCGAAAATATTTCAATGCTTTCAATGAATAGTAGAGTATTCCAATTCGCTTCGATTCGAATTTAAGTTAATGAAGATTTCCAAGTATGAACAAATAGGCGTACAATAATCCATTTGTAATTTTTTGTAAAGGTTGTTTTACGGCAGTGTAGGTGTGCTGAGCCGTGAAAGAACGTTTTTGAGAATAGTCGGAAAATGCTGTCGATCAGTAGTTGAGGCTACCGAGAACACGCGAGCCTATTATTGCAGGAACACGTGAGCCTATTATTACAGCGCAGCATGTGGCCTGCAATTCACAATAAATCCTCAAATTCAGCTAAGAATTGCTCTCTTCCCTCGGCAAATGATGCCACAAGATCAAGAATCACATGTCACAGTCATTGGCTGGCTTGAGCATGATGCGCTCGGGCGTTACTGGAGCCGCCGCAGGGGACTGCGACTTGTCCACACATACGTGCACGATCACACTGAAAAGCCATGTATTAAAAAACAAAACAAAAAGAAAAAGTGCTCAAGGTCAAGAGGCGCGCATAACGTATTTTCTTCCCCCACTGTGCCATACCTCCCCGCTTAGTTTTCAGCGCTGTCGTCGGTATGAGAAGAGATAATGAAATTACAGCATGTGACAAGTCTTTACAACAACGCTCGTACTGGATGGGTTCTAAAATTTTTGCGACGGCGAATTCGTGATGCAATAAGCTTTTTTAGTGAATCCATTCCATGGCTCGAGCAAAAAGTATTACAGGGCCCCTTTAAATAAACATATTACCTTCAAATTGATTCGTCATTTTTTTAACCTTAAAAGTTTGTCATGGCGGTTTATATGCTCTAAGTATAAATTCTAAAATGTTACGCCTTTCACTGATTATCACTTGCATTCTACCAAAAGTGAAATCCTGCTACTACTCAAAGCTGCTTCGACTTCCTTTGAACAACAACAAAAAAAAACATTTTTCTAGAGGCCTTATTCAATTTTTAAAGAAGTATTGTGCTGGTTACTTAGGTCATGACAAATATGCCCTTTCTTTTATGCCATATATGCTATTCAAATTCTATTCGAAATTATTAAAGGAAAATGACTACCGTATTTACTCGCACAATCCTCGCACTTTTCTTGGCGCAATACCGATGCAAAGTTGGGAATGTGCGAGAATTACGCGGGAAAAACTTTCCAACATACAGAGCGAAAAAAAAAAAACGAAGTGGCCGCAAATCAGGATTCTCCCACCAGCATCTAACAGCAAGCTTCGAAAAGTACTAATTAAAATTGACCTCAACAATAAAAGCAGAGGTTCAACCTGAGGCAAGATTTATTCGAGACACAAAAAGTGCAATCAAATAGTCGGGAATTGGAATACCATACGCGAAGCTTGTGGGCGTTGTGGGCGTGGCAGTAGTGTTCGTTGCTCAACAGGAGCCCTCAAAAGGTAAGCGTAGGGTGTCAGTATTGGGCTGATGGTTATTTAACAGATTCATCTGCAGTTTCCTTCTGAAGAAGCACACGGCAAGCCCAACGCGTCTTGGTGGCTCTCAGCTGCCATCACCAGTAGCGAACACAAAAATCGTCAACTCCGAAGGGCCTACCGCGGCCCTGTTGCCATTGTTTGGTGCACGATCAATCACTTTCAACTTGAAAGCAGCTGTGTAGCTTCAGTATCGCCCCATAACGTGACAAGATTACCGACGCAACATACAAAACACGCCACAGCGCGCACTTGCTGCTTTGGCTTGGCTTGGCTTGAATTGAATCTTTGCAGGCAGTAATAGTACGCTTGATGCTTATGAGATGGCGCGCGCTATCATTGTCAGTGGCTGGAACGAGCAGACGACATTATTGCGGCAGTTTTCGGGGGTGCGATAATTACTCGAGGAAAAAAAGGAAATCGTATTTTTGTTCGGCGATGTGGGGGATGCGAGAATTATGCTAGTGCGAGGATTACATAAGTAAATACGGTATTCACTTCAAATTCGCTTCAAACTTAAAATTCACTATTTGCACAAGCCTAGAAGAATGAACATAGGCCGGGCACGTAGCTTGTAGTCAGGATAAACTCCAGTCATTATTCAGGGTAACTGACTGGTTTCTAAAAGAAGGCAAATGCGTGAGAGGGAAGCAGAAAGTTCGGTGAACAGATGAGATTAAGATGTTTGCAGGTATAATGTGGCGGCAGAGAGCACAGGACGAGGTTTAGAGGCAGAACATGGGAGAGGCCATTGTCCTGTAGTGGCTGTAGTCAGGCTGATGATGATGGTGTTCATGCAGTTCGGATACGCAAAGCAGCCTGGGTTCAACCGCACACCGATCTGAGTCTCCGCTCTCCAAAAAGCTCAAACCATCCATGAGCACAGCCGAGGTCATCTGCACTCAGGAGGCATCCCCATTGGTTGAGCCAATTGAGGAAGGTGGGTCTCTTTTCAGCTCGCCTGCTGTCTTGTTAAAGACTCTTGTCTAATTGATTATAGCGAAGTTTTGGGTGCAAAGAGAATAGACTATTTCTTTGTATTTCACAAATAGTTTTCAAATACATCCGAACAGAGTGACTGAAAAGAGGTTGCAGAGGGTCTTTCAGCATATTCTTATTAATTAGCAGCATAAAGGCGTTTCTTTTGGTTGGGTTGGGAAGTGCTGGAGCAGTGATGTTCTGCAGTTTTCTTATCAAGCACGAGGCAGTGCAAAGGAGAAATTGTGTGTTATTGACATGATTTTATGCAATCGGTGTAGTGTTCACAACACTTTACACATGAAGAAAAAGGACTCTAACTAGGCATGTGTGGAAATTCGAATGCTTCCAAAAATATAAATAAGTAATGCGATATTTGAATTGGCTTTGACACAAATTGAAATTACTATAAGTTTTGAAGTATTGCAAATGAGTAAATAGGTGTATAATAATTTGCGTGTAACTCCCTGTAAAGATTATTTCACTGTAGGAGATGTGTGCAACGCTGTAAAACGATTTTTACCAACTCGCTCAATTCGTCCCATTCATCTGTTTATGTGTACCGTATTTTCTCGCATAATCCTCGCACTGTTTTTGGCGGAAAACGAGTGCAAAGTTGGGGGGTGCGAGAATTACGCGCAGAAAACTTTCCACGAAAACCTACAGAGCAAAAAAAAAAAAAAACGATGTGGCTGCAAATCAGGATTCTCACCCCATTAACTAACAGCAAGCTTTGAGAAGTACTAATTAAAATTGACCTCAGCAATAAAAGCAGAGGTTCAACACAAGGTAAGATTTATTCGAGACACAAAAAGTGCAATTAAATAGTTGGGAATTGGAATACCATACGCAAAGCTTGTGTGTGTTGTGGGCGTAGCAATAGCGTTCATCGCTCAACAGGAGCCCTCAAAAGGTAAGCTTAGTGTGTCAGTATTGGGCTGATGGTTATTTAACGGAATCATCTGCAGTTTCCTTCTGAAGAAATAAAGTTTACCCTCTATCTCAGTCTTAAGCACACGGCAGGCCCAACGCATCTTGGTGGCTTTCAGCTGCCGTCACCAGTAGCGAACACAAAAATCGTCGACTCCGAAGGGCCTACCGGCGGCCCTGTTGCCATTGTTTGTTGCACGATCAATCACTTTCAACCTGAAAGCAGCCGTGTAGCTTCAGTATCGCCCCATAACATGACAAAATTACCGACACAATATACAAAACACGCCGCAAGGTGCTCTGCCGCTTTAGCTTGGCTTGGATTGGATTGAATCTCCGTGCAATTATAGTATGCCTGATGCTTAAGAGATGGCGCCAGATGGCGTGCACTATCATCATCAACAGCTGGAACGAGCAGACGACATTATTACAGTGATTTTCGGGGGTGCGATAATTACTCGAGGAAAGAAAAAAATATTTTTGTTGGGCGATGGGGGGGGGGGGGGGGGTTCGAGGATTATGCAAGTGCGCGAGGATTTTGCGAGTAAATACGGTATATTAACTCGCATGTAATCCCCTGTAAAGGTGTTTGTCTGCAGCCAAATGGTGCCAAACAGTAAAAGCATCTATTTAGGAAAACTTTGCACTGCCGTGAGGCTTTACTTTCAGGGGTAACGCGTGTCTTAGAATGGTGAAAAATGGCCAAAAAGTCGATTTTGAGAAAATGCGATATTTGAAATTTTTAGACCTATAAGCACGTGTCCTCAAATTGTGAACGCTGAATTCGATCAGTAAATGAATTAAAATTGATTATGAAGTCTCCGCGGGAGCCGCAAAACAACCCACAGCAGGGCAAATTCGTTCAAACTTGCCGCGCGCGCCGCCGCCGAAGCAGTCGGCCGATCGCTGCCATCATGGGCCTGTTTTGAAGCTGATTCCTTTGCGCGAATTTTGCCACCCTTCAAAATGGCGTCGCTTAAACAGAACGGCTGCCCTCGCCCCTTTTCTGGAGCCCTCTTCCGGGCCGCTGATTGGCTGGAGCGAGCGCGCACCAGGCGAGCCCCCTGTTCCTCGCTTCCCATTGGCTGATGCGGCCAAAGTTGCCCGCGCTTTTTTTTTGTATATTGTTCGTCGGTCGCCGGTTCCCGTTCGCGCACGTTGTTCGTCTGCTTCCCACACGTACCTGCTTGTGCTACGCGACCGACGCACCGACTTTCCGTCTTTTGCCGGCATGATTGGAGACGCTCGTCTAAAGAAGAAGACGCACCAAGCGTACAGCAACAAACGGAAGCGCCCGTGGAACGCCCGCCAGAAAAAAAAGCAGCCGACAACGTCCAGCCGATTTCGCCCGATGCCGCTGAAGCGGCGCATTCCGACGACAGCGCGCAGCCGCGGCCGCTTGTGTCTGAAGCGGTGCACTCTCCTGTGCCTTGCAGCAGCACCTCATCGGATTGTGTCGTCGTCGGATCGTCATCTTGCACTTCCAGCAGCATCCTAGACCGTATTGACACGGCGTTTTATTCGGCGGACGAGTTGGCTGAGTGTGCGAGAAATGCAGCGGGCTTGAAGGCATCACTCGCATCACAGTGCACGACGGAACGTAAATTCGAGTTACTAGATATTGTTCTGGAGGATGGTGGCAAAGAAAACGAGACAGAATTTGTTATTGTTGATCTGGCGACGATACGCTCGTTATTTGGACTTGTCGCACGCCCAGAATGCGGTGAAAGAAGCGTCACTATTTCAAAGGCCAAGGAGGAATACGGGTTGTGTTCGAAGCTCATAGTCACGTGCGGCAGTTGTGACTTTCGCGAAGAGCGTTTTTCGTTCCCACGTATAGCCGACGAGACCGACGCCAAAATAAGGCGGTTTGAAGTTAATATGCGTGCCATGAAGGCCATCAACAGTATCGGCAGGGGGGCAAGAGCTCTGTCGGACTTCTTTGCCGGGATGAATATTTCGCATCGAGGGCTTCACCACAAGAGTTACCAAAGCCACATGAATAAAATGAAAGAAGCCTGCTGTGCGACTGCTGCCGAATGCGAAGAGGCGAGCGTTGCTCGCGTCAAGGAGCTCTATGCGGAGTTCGGCAACGCACCCGGAAACGTCGACGTCATTTATGACGGCACCTGGCTTACGCGTGGACATAGCTCGCATATATGTGTTGGCTGCATTGTTGAGATGTATAGTGACCTTGTGATAGACCATATCGTGCTATTGAACTTTTGCCTGGCTTGCACCACAGGACCCAAGGAAGGAGAAGCAGGACATTCTGCCTGGCCCATTTGGCATGCCCCTCTGTGCCAGAAGAATGTTGATTGTAATGCTGGCGAGATGGAAGTGGAGGTAGCACTACGCTTGTTTGAGTGGTCACTTAAAAGCACAAGCTTCGTTATACGAAAGAAATTTATGTAGCGCGAGGTGAAAAAACGAACACAGAAAAGAATAGACTGAGAAGACAGAGAGCTAAATTTATGTAGCGCGAGGCGAAAAAACGAACACAGGAAAGAATAGACTGAGAAGACAGAGCGCTACATAAATTTCTTTCAAATGTTTCACCAACAAGCCCACATCGCCACTCATTTCGTTATACGACAATGCTGTCGAACGGCGACAGCAGGACATTCCGTGCACTCACAGAAAAAGAGGTGTACGGCTTCGTAAAGGTGGCCAAAAAAAGGACTGCGCAAATCATGTACACAAGCGTATGGGAGCTGCCTTACGTACCCTTGTAGAGAAAAAAAAAGCTTAAGGTGGCTCACTTGGTGGAAAGGGCAGACTTACGCACGAAAAGATAAAGAAGATCACCTCATACTATGGCTACGCATTGAGAAGCCACAGGAACGATGTTCCAGGTATGCAGAAGGCTGTTCTAGCAACTTTGAACCACATGTCTTCAACTGACGAGGCACCAAAGCATGACCTTTGCCCTGAAGGCCCTGAATCCTGGTGCAAATTTCAGAGACCTCTTGCGAAAAATGAGAAGCCGCCACCACACAAGGACAGCCTGCCTGATTTCGTAATTGAGGCATTGGAGCCTGTGTTTAGGCGGCTGAGCGACAATGCCCTCTTGGAAAGGTGCAGCGATGGGATCACCCAGAACCCAATTGAGAGCCTGCACGATATGATTTGGCAGCAGGCCCCCAAAACTCAGCATGCATCCTTGCTGAGCATTAAAAGGGCAGTTGCCGAAGCCATCAGCTGTTTCAACCAAGGCACAACCAAGAGCAACGTGGAAATTGCCGAGAAGCTGGGCTACAGCGCTGGCAATAACTTGGTGCATCGCAGCCTTGAGAAGGACAAGGGCAGGCTGCGAAAATCGCGAAGAGAGCATCTCGACAGCAGTTCAATAAGGGAAAGACTTTCAAAGCGTCACAAGCCAGCAGGGGACTCTGCTTACAGCCCTGGTCTGCTGTAAACAGTCATGATGTCAAATAGTGAGAATTTTTGCAATAATATTCTTGGTTTTAGACCTAAACATTGTGTAAATCTATTGTCTATCCAAGGACAACATTATTACATGATTTTTTTGTATTCCTTTCACTTGCAAGGCATTGGAACGACAACAAAGTAAAAAAATAATTGTTTTCATGCTGAGTCAATCACTATTTCATAGTTCTAGAACAAGCTGTGAGCAGTATTCTGGGTGGGTACAGTGAAATTTAGCATGGCCATTTATCCTATAATATAGAGCTACAGAATGATGTCATTAATATCGCTGTAGCTTTACTTTAGCAAAAGTTAAAGTTGCTAGAAACTTCAAACGCGTTTTTCTCAATTCGATGTTTTTGCACATTGCACTCGGCCTTACAGGGGTTTTTCCTATGTTAAACTTGAGTGAATGCGACAAAGTTGGTATCATTTTACTCGTCTTGACATGATCTAGGGGGTGATGCTATTTCTATTTCTCTAGCATCACTTCAAAAATTACCATTGAAGATTTTAGTGAGAGAAATTTATTGTAGTATAGTGGCCATAAGTGATCGTCTGTTTTCTTGCTTATAAAAAGCCTTCAAATGGATAAAAATAGCATCACCCCCTACAGCAAGTCTCCAGCATTGGGATTATGCATTCACTTTTTGAATTTAGCAAGAATAAATTGCCAAGAAGTCCCGTAAGAAGTATGCAATCAATTAAGATTCAGACCTTCATATTTTCTAAACCACTTGAAGTATTAAGAAACAAATTAGAGATTTGAAATCAGCATGAAAAAAACTAGCTTAGGTAGTGAAGCTTGGTTAAGATTGAGCAAAAAATTAAAAAAAAATTTAGAACCCACGTCCCCCCTTAAAGTTAAATTAACGTATTACCCTGTGGGGTCTGAATATGGTGAGCGCCACGCATTTGGAGTGAACGGACACAGTAGACACAATCCGAACGAAATAAACAACACATTTATTTAACTACTTTTTGAACGGTGATATCACCAGCTAAAATAAATACATCAATAGTGATCAACATGCTAAAACAACCTTACACAATTTTACACAGCACTCAACAACATTACAAACACAAGAACACACTCAAGGCAGCATCGTCAACGCTTGACTCACGCGCGGGCTCGCGACCAACGACCCGCAGCGCTGTCCTCACAGGTACACCGCGAGATACAACCGCTTGCTCCCTCTGCCACACGCAAAGAAAGCCCGCTCATATCTCGGGCGCCACCAACCAAGCCTGCCGTCAGGTCAGTCCCGGTGCTACGCACTAACTGTGATGATGATCGTGGCGATAACAAATGCTCACTGGCACAACGCCACCTACCGCTCGGGAGTTGTGTACCCGAAATGCAGTCTATGCGTGAGACATGTGCGCCATGAGACGCTAACTACTTTACTGGGAGTGTTAGCACCCCCACATTTCCCCAATCTAATTCAAACTATATCCCGAAAAGAACAAAGAAAAAAACCAGCTACACAAGCTCTAACAAAAGATGACAACATATGTCTCTAAAGAATGTTTGTGCACCATGATAGCGACGCCAGTTGACGCTGCTGCACTGTCTGGCTCGAGGACTTTACCTCAGTATCAGTACTGTAACGGCAACGTTGCTGTCGGCGTGAGAAACTTTCACATGCACCCACACGTTTTCTGGTTGCGACCAGCACTCACGAGGGCGCTGGACTGCAGGCAGTTGCACACGTCCCAGGCATGTCTATTGCTCGATGTCTCAACCGCATTCCTGGCCAGCGGCACTGACGATGTGCAGAAGACAGCCAGTCGCGGGTTACATCACTCCCATTGCGTACATTCAAAACACTCAAAAGAACAATGCAGTAGGTCAAAGAGGAGGGAGCTGTGGGCTCCTCACCCACGTAATACAATGGTCAGTACTGCAAGCTAATACAGTCGACTCCCGTTAATACGAAGTTCACGGGAACCGCAAAAAACTTCGAATTAAACGAACTTCGAATTAAGCAAAAAGCACTAAAAACGGCACTTTTATTAGTTTAAAAGCGGAACAGTTTTTAGGAAAAATAGTCTGTCATCTTCTTCTGCTTGCCGAATCTGGCTGCGGCTAGCAAGTTTTGTAAGGAATACACGTGTCGAAGTGCTTCTTCGGCGTTGTGTTCTCCAACAAAAAACCGCTGCGCAAGAGCAAGACGCGCAGCTACATCGGCAGCCCTCGGTGGTGGCTCATTTCCGATGTCGTCGTCATCATCGTCATTTTCAGGAATGCAGTCATGGGGCCGAACCATCTGCACGATTTCGCTGTCCGTTAGTGGACCGCATGTTTCGACGTTGCTGTCCACAGCGACATACTCGTCAAAACGGACGTCACCGAGAGCGGTGCGAAAGCTACCGTCGTCGAGCTCATTTGTTTGCACTTCCACTGGCGCACAAGAAGCATCCCCCGAGTTTTCCATGAAACCACAGGCCCGGAAACAATTGCCAATGGTTTCTTCTTTCACGCAGGTCCAAGCTCGCGCTAGCATGTTGATGGCACTAAGCAAACTCACCTCGTATTGCGACGAGTTGTCCATGCACAAAAGCATGCGCTCGACGAGATGCTGCCTATACAATACCTTCACATTTTTTATTATGCCCTGGTCCATGGGCTGCAACACGGACGTCGTGTTTGCAGGCAGCTACACAAGACGGATGGCACTCAAGGCAGGTACGTTCATGTGGGCACTACATTGGTCCACAAGGAACAACACCTTACGGCTTGATTGCGCGAACTTGCGGTCGAGTTTGGTGATCCTATAGCTGAAGTTCAAGATGACGTCCTGTGCTCAGGTAGTGATGAGATGGTGTGTGATTTCGAGCTCATTTCAGTGCTGCAAGAGCATTGACAGTGCAGCAAGAAATGCTGTCATCCTGTTGCAGCGCTACTTTGAACACGATGGTGGCACAGAGTTCCTGCGCAGACTTTCAGCAATGCATGCCTACTATGTGAGAAAGTACTTGAACAAGGCCGTTTAAGTTCCGTTTAAGAAGAGTCTACTATATATACAATGTGGCTGTGGTGATCTGACTGCTTGAGTGGAATAAAAATGCATGCATTCGTTTTTCGGGCAGCTTGGTTTTCAGACGATTTTGCACTCCCTACGAAGTAAGAAAAATCAGACATTTACTGTATTTGCCTTCAGGACCTTTAGTGCCAGTCAAGCAGGACAGCAAAAACATTTGAAAAACATTTGCAAGTTTTAATATTCACTCACCCCGAACTTTTCTTTTTTTTTTTCAGGTGTGTCTAGTTCTCTCACTGGAACCAGTGCAGAAGAGCCACAGCAGTCCAGTGCCGCGGATGATGTCATTGTCGTCGAAAGCGATGATGAGGTGATCGAAGAGGAGCTGCCAAAGGTTGGAACACATTTGTTGCATTATGTAGTTCTTCTCAACCCTTCTCCATTTCAATAAACACAGCTCGTCCCTGCTGACTCTAAACCGTTTTGAAAGTGTAGGTTGCACCCTTGACAGGAAAGAGGTGCAAGTGCGCAAATAGTAGCTGTCGCAACTGGTAATCACATGTTCGCATACATCGCGAATTCCTTCACATTGTCATTCATTAGTTTCTTTATAGTTCCCAGAAAGAATGGGTAAGTCATGACGTGCTGACCATTGAGTTTTTTATAAGTACACTAGAGGGAACTCTGGCACTATTGTCTATGGAAGCTGCAACGCATAGCGCTTCAACGAGCATGGAAATAATGGTTTGTACACCAATCATCCTAATTTTCTTACTTTCGGCTCTATTTGGCTTCGCATGGCCTAGCGCTGCTTTGTCACAAAACGACACTCGACACATGTTCAGCAGTTGCACTTCACCACATTAATGTTTTAGGCTCACCATTTCCAATCCGGTGACAAAGTTAAAAACTGCTTGTTCTTTTATTCGAAATGAAACCGTAACACTGCAACAGACAAACCCACAAGTGCATTGAAAGCCTGCAAACAGTATACCAGGCAAAGCGTGGTATGGCCCATGATTTCCATGGTGATTGAATAATTGCAGTCCCCTCTAGTTAATTTTAGGACGCTGACGTTGCGAGAAGCATGCACTATATTGCCCACGTGCCACTGCTTTGTTGCTGTGAAGCAATTTTGTTTTCCACGGGCACACATTTCAGTTGACCACAGGGCCACCTTGTTTTTCTTTTCCTTTTTTGCGCTGGAATTAGGAAGGCTCAGCTGCTTCAGCTGCCCCTCACTAGCATCGCTAAGCTGCATTGCCTTGTGGCTCTTGTAGCGAAATTGTGATCAGGAATGAGCATATGGCAGCCAAAGTTTTTGAATTGACTGGACCGGTGTTAACCGCCACTTCAAGTTATCCTCTCAGACTTGCATTGAAAAATACCAGACCGCAGAAATGTTTCGAATCAAGCGGGATGTCTAAATACCTCAGTTCAAATAATTAGATTTTACTGTATAGTTAATATTAAGACCCAACACATTTTACAGTTTATACTTGCATACTACGAAAAGTCAAATCTTGCTACATTGAAATAGCGGTAGAACGAACCCCACATTAACGAACTTTTCAGATAATTGAACTTTAAAAAAATCCCACGCCGAATGCTAATAGTTGAAATGCAAAATTATTTCACTTATATATACTTTGGAATACCGAACTTTTCACAATAACGAGCACTAATTTAGCTCCGCGTTATATTTACAATGCCTCAGTACAACGAACTCATGTTCTGAAATTCGTAGCGACCGCCGGAGCGGTACGCTAGCAGACGACACAGCGAACAGGCGCCTTGCTTCTCAGAACACGCACGATGGTGCGGAAGGGGAAAAAAAACAAAACAAAAGATTGACTTCTTTTGTTTCTTTTTGTTAAAAGACTGACGCTGCAAGTTTACAAGTGCCAAGGCGAAGGGTGAGGGCAACACGGGAGGGCAAGTTCAACGAGGCAGAGTGGGAGTTGCATAGCAGGAAGCATGGGCGCAGAAAACCTAAGACAGTGAGGAAGCTGAAAACAAAACGCGAGGAATTTTCTGTTTTAGCTCTTTCTTTTCTTCAGAAAGACAATGACAGCCACACGCTTTTGGTCTTTCTTATCTTTGTCACTTCTACACGTGCTCCAGGAGGCCTTGTCAGTCGTGTTCATCTCTTTTCGGTGATTACTTGTCACGTCCGCAAAGCAAGTCGGCATTCGAGCTGCAGTGCGAAAAAGCGGAAGCAGTTTTCGCTAAGCGATAAAGTGGATCGCACCCCTGAATCGCACCACAAGAATGTGGATGAGCTGGTGGCCTTCGTGCTGCAAAGTTTGTGCTGCACACGTCGAAAAAAAAAAAAAAAAAGATCAGACTTCTTTTGTGGTGTACACGTATCCCGAAGGAGTACGGCCACCAGCGTGGGTCCAGTCTTAGCGAGCCGCAGGGCACGCGTTGACCGTCGCCGTGGCGGGAAACACGATACTGCTCAAGTCGCAACACTTTATTGTGGCAACACCAAACGCAGTACAGCCCGTTGCAAAAAGGCGCGGCGGGAAAGCAAGTAGGCTTATCCACGCCACGGGCACAAAGTACTACACAGGGGTGCCACGAGCACGTCTCCGCGGTAAAGGTGATCCACGGAGACACCGGAGCAAAGGCCCGGTTGCTCGAGCGAGGGCAAAGGCGCTCGCGTTGGCTTCGAAGGGAGACGGGTCGGCGTAGCGAGGCCACGCACTAGGACACCGTACCGCCCTTCGGCCGTGCGTACGCAGCGGGGCAACAGCGGGTGAGCGTTCGCCTTGGGCGCGAGGCGCCGTCAGCGAAGTCCGACGAGCCCCCGACTGACGGGAGTCGACGGACGAAAAGATAGCGTGGCTCACCGTTTGCTGTCCCGGAGAGTATCTGACCGCTCCCGACGCAGCGCGCGAAAACCTCTCGGGGGTCCCCGCACGCGGCGCCACAGTCCACATCCGCTTCCGGGTGAGGGAGTTAAACGTCACTCCGCCCTTCCCAGCGCGGCAGACAGCAAGGAGGGCAGACATGTCGGGACATGAGAACGGCAGAAAAGGCGGGAAAGCCCGCTCAAAGACAGCGGGCCAGCCTCAATTCCCACATCCCCCTCTCCTAAATTTGCCCTTTACCGGTCTGCAAAAGGCAGCCGGACGTCACCCATGCAGTTAAAATGACACTGCTATGAGCGACAGCTAACCTCAGTCCAGCCCTGCTACTGCTGCTAAAAAAAATGATTACAAAGAAGAAACAAAACATAACTAACAAAATAAACACATGACACTATAAAAATAACGGCGGAAGGAAGCACAGAAACGTGGCACTAGTGTTCGTGGTGCTGAAGCGGGATAACGTCCACTGCGCGGAGGGGCGGAAAGGCGTGACAGTGTCCGCTGGTTGCGATGCCCGAGTGCGAGGTCAGAGGTACGGGAGGGGGCTCACTGATGGCTCGTTGCTGCTCTTGATCAGCCGCGAGTCCGATGAAAGCCGCTTCGGTTGTTCGGAGGCCCCGCATTTCTGGCTCGATGATGGAGCTGGACGTTGCGGGAAGCCGGGCCTCTCCGGTGGTCAGGGAGGCCGAACCAAAATTTACTGCGAGGCGCCCTGGCATTGGCCGGCAGCATATAGCTGCTTTCAGCTGGCCTCGCGCAGGAGCCATGGTGGGAAAGGCAGCAGGGCTTCTTCGACGACGGCCGAGAGCAGGGCACAGCCAGATGGTCCGACGTCAGTGGGTCAATGCCCCCCAGCACCTCCAGCGCCCGCGTCGATGGGGGGAAGCCATGACGCACTCTTCGCGGGCTCGCACTGAAGCGTCACGCACTTGCACATGCACAGAAGCATGCACGCACACACACCGCCGACAGCTGCGCGAGCGTAGGCGCAAAGCGTCCTTCGTCTCTCTCCGGGCAAGCACCGACACTCAAGGTCACACACAGCTCCCTTCGCGGTAGACGAAACAAACACGGAAAAAAAAGTAAAAACAGAGCAAAATGACATTCAATATCTCGCCAAAGGAACATAAAATACAAATAACACTTAATATTAGACAAAAGAAACATAAAATACACATGAACGCTTAAAAAAAAACTGGCAGCAGACAGGGCGGGGTTAACTTCTTTACGAGAAAAGGCCGTAAAAAAGCTAACCTATACTGAGGCTAGACAGTAAACTGAGGGCCTTCGGTTGCGGAGAAGTCCGCCGTCCGGCGCGAAATCACAAAGGTGACCGCTTCCTCAGATTATACCGGTGCGGGGTCCGAACGCGGTCCGCCGCCCCGGGTGTGCCTCGTTGCTGGCGCGAAGTGCCGCAGGGCTCTTGCGCGAGCTCGTCAGACCGTGATACAAAGGGTTTCAGGTCTGCGATATGGGCACGGCTGAGTTTTCCCGTATGGGGATCTTTCAGCAAGTACGCGAGTGGAGTGCAAGCTTTCTCCACTCGGTACGGACCAAGCCACTTAGGAGCGAGCGAGGTTGAGAACCCCTTACTGGCATCGCTAAGGGCGTGGTTGCGCTTCAGGACAAGATCGCCCACCTCAAAAACTAGGTCACGATGCTTGCGGTCATATTGGGCCTTCTGCTGAGCCCTGGCCGACGCCAAACTTTGCCTTGCTTTGCAGAAAGCTCGACAAAGCCTGTCCTGAAGTGCCGACGCGTAAGCAGAGCAGTCTGCCGGCGCCTCCTCGTCCTCGAGCTGGCATTGAGTGACGCTGGTCACCGGATTTGCCAACTCCCTTCCAAAATTTAAGAAGGCGGGCGAGAAACCAGTTGAGCAACTCTCGGATATTCGAATAGCGAACGCGAGCTCACTCAAATGGTCTGCCCAGTCCCTTTGACTTTCGGCAAAGGCCGCCAACATCGGTTTGAGCGTACGATTGACGCGCTCCGTCAAATTGGACTGGGGATGGTAGGGTGAAGTGGTGCAGTGATCGATTCCGAGGGAACGGCACGTGACACCAAACACCCGAGCGGTGAAATACGAAGCATTGTCAGTGATGAGCCTTTCCGGGAAGCCGAACCGGCAAAACACTTCCTGCAGCTTCTCAAGCACCGCTCGCGCTGTCACCTTCCGAAGTGGGAAAAGTTCCACCCACTTCGAAAAGTGATCATCGACTACCATCAGGTGAATGAACCCCTGCTTACTTCTGGGAAATGGTCCCATTAGATCGCAGGTGGCCACTTGCCACGGACGCTCACTGACAATCGGTTTCATCAGACCGGGCGGTTTGCCACCCCTTGATTTCACCGTTTGACAGACGCGGCAAGAACGGCAGTAGCGAAAAATGTCTCGCTTCATGCCGGGCCAAGTCACAACGCGGCTCAGTTTTGCAAAAACTTTCGAGCTACTCAGGTGACCGGCCATGGGTTCGTCGTGAGAGGATCGCAACAGTGCGGCTCTCAGACTTTTGGGCAT